CTTCCCTTGCTTGAATAAGCCTAAGCCTTTGTTTTCTTTCCTATTAGCTGAATATCCAGATTCTGAGGAAACCACAATGATGGGATCTTCAATCAATCTTTATGAAATGACGACTGAATCAACGTTTTCTGATAATAACTTTCTCCACCAGTCAGTCAAGGGTTAGAATACTTTCTTCAAAGCCTTCTATTTCTTTCTTTGTTCATCATTATCTTCTGGTTATTTGAAGTCACCTTTGCCAACATTAGTGAGTTTCTTTTGTTTATATTCATTCAAGTGTTAGAATGTGAATTCATCGACTGGATCTTCCAACAATAAGACTTCATATCCTTTTTTGATTAAGCCTTGAATGATTGGAGATGACAACAATTATTCCTTATTTTCACCTGCCAAATAATAGATAGAGTCTTATCCTGGTTTTGATCTTTCAATATAGTCATCGAATGAAGTTAATTCAGTTGCATTCTTGCTTGAATACCACCTAAAATAAAATATTAGGTATAATATTTAATATATGGATAATGTTGGATTAGAAGTATGTTATGTTAGATCAGACGACTGTTTATATGATCACTTAATAAATAGAAATTAATCCATTTATTATCCATATTAATTTGTCATCATTGCATAACATATTTCATATAATAGTAATAATAATAATGATACCTTGTTAATTCAGCCAATTTCTATCTGTTTGATGAATCTTCAATGACACCCAACTTGATATTCTTTCCATATTCCTTCCAGAATTCATTGTACTCATCGATCTTCTTCTTTCTCTTCTCATCCTTCAATCTTTATTATTCTTCTGGAGTAGTTTCAGCCATGTTATCATCCTCTTCACCTTCTTCAGTATCTTCCTCATCTTCATCATCATAGGAGGCAGCATCTTAGAATAATTCCAAGATCTTCTTAACAATCTTTCTACTGATGACCTTCAACATCTTAAGTTATTGAAGTGTTTCTCTATTGACATTTAAGGGGTAATTCATCAGAATCAATCACACCTTTAACAAAACTTAAATATCTTGGAAGAATATCTTCGAATTCTTCACTGATCAAAACTCTTCTGACATACAATTTCAAGTTTGTAGTTTATTTTCCATAATAATTATCGAACATATCACTGGGTGCTCTCTTTGGAACATAAATAAGAGATGTGAATTCAACTTCACCTTCTGCTTTGAAATGAACCCAGTTGAATGGATCTTCACCTGAATTCTTAGACAAGACTTTATAGAATTTCTTATAATCATCATCTGATATCTCTTCCTTTGGTCTCAACCAAATAGCTTTATTTTCATTCACTTACACCCACTCAGACACCTTCTCTTTTATTGTTTTAGTAGCCTTCTTCTTTGTATCTGCATCATCATCATCATCATCTTTAACTTTGACTTCATCATCATCTGTCTAATCCTATTGATCTTATTGATCCTATTATTATTCTGATTCCTCCTCTACTTACTTTGAAACTTCTCTTGTCACCTTCAAGTAAATTGGGAAATTGATAAATTCAGAATACTTTTTGATCAACTCTCTAATTGTAGATTCTTCAGCAAATTCTACTGCATCTTATTTCAAATGAATAGTGACTTAAGTACCACGACCCAAAGTGTTTCCTCTTGGATCTTTAGATACAGCAAATGAATGAGCTGCTTGAGATTCCCAAATGTATTAATCATCATCTGAGTTCTTTGATGCAACAGTAACCTTCTGTCCTGCCAAGAAGCATGAATAGAAACCAACACCAAATTGACCAATCAAATTTACATTTCCACCTTTGATTGCCTCGATGAATTGAGTTGTTCCTGATTTTGCTATTGTGCCCAAATTGGAAATTAGGTCATTCTTTGTCATACCAATACCACTGTCTGTTACTGAAACTGACTTTTCTTCTGTATTTATTTCAATTCTTATTGCTAATTCTGTCTTGTCTCCCAAAATCTCTGGATTCCTAACACTTAAGAAACGAAGTTTATCAAGGGCATCTGCAGCGTTTGAGATTAATTCTCTAAGAAAGATTTCCTTTTGTGTATAGAGAGAATTGATAAGAATGTCCATCAATCTACCTGTTTCAGCTTAGAATTCATGGGTTTCTTAGGATTGTTCCAATAACTTTTTTTATTCATCAGTCAGATCCTATGTCATCACTTATACTCCTGAGAGCATAAAGAGCAACAGCAAGGCAAAGGCCTTCTATTTACTATTCATTAAAAATATTAATGATTTGCATTCACCATACCTTAAATAATATATATCCAAAAACACGTGTGTTATCACATTTTCTAGAAATTAATTAAAAAAACCTCTTTTTTATATACATTTTCAAATTCCATACGAATATTCATGTTCAATCTCATTGAATCAAACAAAAATTATTCATTCCTGAACATACTTAGGCTGATTCTTCATTTTTATTAGATTAATTAAATGGAATTTCAAAAAATAAAATAAATTAATTCGCATTATATATATATTCGATCTTAATTATTAAATCTCAAGACAACAAATGAACCTAAATCTCACTTTGAAATGGAACCCACATATTTTATGTTCCATTTAAAAAACAAAACGAATATGATCATCAATAAAATAATAATGGTTAAATCGGATTTTACGAAGTGAATGTTGATAACCAAATCAGAAATTTTTATATCTATTATTTAATTTTATGTAATTTTCAATCATTAGATAATTTGATTGCAAGCACAATAATATTAGCGGCAAACAGGAGTAAAGCAATTAAATAGAGAATTAGTTTCATGTAGAATTCCCTCCTAATAATTTAATTTGTTTGCTTATCAACTCTTCTTGTTTCCCTTTATATATCTTTGTTCTAATTTTTAAGGTAATTTATACTGTATTTGCAATACCGACAATTTTTTCTCCTTAATCCAAAAGTTTCTCTTAAACAATCGCAGCAGTTTGATTAGTTTAGGCTAAAGTAGTTACAATGTTTTCTATTTATTAATTCTAATTGTAAAGCATATTGTTGTTATCTAACAAGAGTTCTTTTGATTTATTCGCCATTTTTACAAAGAATAATATTCAATTTAATTATTACTTTTTTATATTCATATAAGTCTTAAAAAATTAATATTCAATGATATAGAATTTTAATATTATCTCGTCAACATCTCCTCAATCGTAATACCTAATAACAAAATCATAGATAATATTAATTTTTTACACATTTATCATGTATTCATACTTATTCACTTAAATAATAGGTCAGGCTGAGAAATTCTCACATTTGTTTTCCTAATTAATGAATGTACATTAATTAATTTTATAAAATCTTTCTTAAATTAGTAATTCTCTAAATTGATATGTCATATAAATTCTACAATAAACAAGATTGGAACAATTTTTCAGCATTCATTTTAGATATACTGTCTATATTTTAATTTTAAATTAATAAAATCACAATAATTAATGAATTGAAACTATATATATAATTTGTTCAAAAAATGAATAGTGAATCTAAATAAAATAAGAATTGAATCAGATAAACAAACTATTTTTGTTAATTATATAATTAATTTACAAATAAAAAAGGTTATTCATAAAATTTTATACATAATCTGCCGTGCAATATATTGAGCAAATCTATTTTTATGACCTCTTATCTTATCCAAGACTTTAGAATATATATTTTAATTGTTAATCAACTTAATTACTTTTGTAATATTATAATGAGGATAATAATAATCGTATTCTTCTACTTTATCGATATTTGTTTCAGAATTAAAAATTTATGTTTGAATGTCCTCTTAATTTTCTTGGGCATTATTACCTGAAGATGTAGCTGCAAATAAACATCGATGACTCACTTGCCTAGTAATCCTATTCTTAAAAACGAATTTTTGTTCTAACTGATTTTGTGGAGTTAACTGAGGAGCATGAACTGAAGTCTAATCAGGATATGATGCTTCGTCTTCATCATTTCTTTGCAAACCTAATCTAATGAGAAGCTTGTTGTCAACCACAGCAAGTGTTTTGTTCTACTCTAGAAATTATTCAAAGGCTCTTTCCTTAACCAATTAGGAATTAAACCTTCTTTTCTTTCTCTATCTCATATACATTTGCCTTTCGTGGTCAACACTGCTATTGTAAATTGAGATAACTTTATTCTTATTTTTCCTAAAGAAAACTAATGGACAATGTTTGAATTGATGATGACTAGAACATGCCTCGCAAATTATCTGATTGTTGTTGTCTCCAAATTAGGTTCCATCCAAAATTAGTCTATACTTTTCATACTATGCCTTGTGTCTTTCTAAAGAATATTCAAGAAATCATTTTAATTGATATAAGCTACTTAGACAAATGTTTAGGCCACCATGTCAAATTGCATCTAATCCTAAAAGAAGAATTCTCTTTCACAAACTAATTTACCACTTACATATCTTTTGATTGTCCTATCCAACAAAACTGATTTGATTTTTCCTGAGAGCACAATGTAGAGTTTCTCAGGATGATCATCCTTCTTGATTATAAATTCTTCAGGGGCATAGGTTCTTTCATGAACACAATAACATAGTTTTTTTAGTATTTCATCTGAAAGATTTGAACCTAACAATTTCGATTTCTTGAAATAACTGAAATACATTGCTATTTGAACTTCCTATTTTAATTTTGGATTCAATTGTCCCATCAATTCATCCAAATCTAATTCCTCCTCTTATTTAAATTACAAATAATATTCAATATATTTCCGAACTCTAAATTGCAATTAGGTATTTAATCCCCTCTATTTGATGTGATTGCTCACTAATCTAAGTTTAGCATTATTAAGATTTTGTTATTCAGCTAATTTGTAGAATATGCTCTAAATCATTCCCAAGGCATATCCAAATGTACCCACAACTAGAAATGTCATAAATGTTACAAGTATTTTCTCAGGTGTTGTCACAGGTACTATGTCTCCATATCCCACAGTCATTGAGGTTATGGTTACCCAATACAACGAAGTAAAGTATTTTACAAATGCATCTGATTCGTATATTCCTTGCTGATGCAGCCAAGTGTGTGAGTATCCATTATCTATTTCAAGAATGGCAAAGTAATGAAATAAACATGCACAAAAATGAGATATCAGCAAAAGCGAATAAATCAAGCAGAATAGTGAATATATTACTGCTGTCTTTTCTTTGAAATTAGAGATCTCTTCTATGACTACCATAGTCCTTCTTACCTTGGTCATGCGAATCAACATAAGGTAATTGGCAAATGAGTAGCCGAACCATGAGATTATGAAGGGTAGCACTACTGTGAGATCAAGAATGAACTCTCCTTTTACGTAATGCCAAAATATATCATGTTTGGAAGTATGTAATATTCCTCTGACATAATAGCCTTTAAAAAAATTCAAGATTAATTCGATTAAAAATATGCAAACGGGTGATGAGTACTAAACAATAAGTAAGCATTTCCAATTTCTTCCTTGCCCAAATCGAATGACAACTAGAAGGGAACATACAATATATTCACAATCGTCACAAACATTAAGATGACATCCCACACAAATAGAAATTTGTCAGCAGGTAATAATACAGTTTGATTACTTTTAAGGAATGACCATAGTCTCCACCAAATTGCATTCATTAATTTGGCTTCGTACTTGATTTCACCAAACTATATTTTTATTAAAATGCCTTATACCCTTGTAGGCTGATTTTCTAACAGTCGACTATATAGGTAATATTAAAATGAACTAGTTCGATCCCTAATCAGGTAAAATATATTCTTGTTCAAAATCTTAAATCTATAAATAGGGGAAAAGTGTTTCATTTTTGTGATAAAAATAGCTATTTTTTGAATAATCTTGAGAGGCTTCATTTTCCATACGCTACTTATTCTATAAATTTACTCACTGTTCTCGAACTGTTGTATTTCTTTTTCGACATTATTCATGGCTTCTAACTCAATCCTCTTGTCCTCCTGATGTTGAGCTTCTTTTATGGAAAACTAGAATAAGAATCTCGTCTTTTTCATGTTATATTTAGATTTATAAATTGTGTTTAAAAATTAAAGCATTCCAGTCATGGAATATGTTCTAGAATATGATATAGATGTACCAATAGAAACAACCATCGCAAAAGTATTCTAGATGCAGCCATTTATGCAAAGGAGCACCATTCAGTAATTATCTTGAGGATAACTGAACAATTGGAGATTTGAAACAAGATGCTATTGCAAAGTGATGCTATTACGCGAAGAAGACGAGTTATAAAACAAATTGTAATTGGCTATATTATTGATGCTTTTCGGTTAAATAAATTGATTAAATATTTAAGAAATATAATAGATTGTTGATATTATGAGAAATACTTATTTAGTTTTTTAGCAAGGTGGATGAATATAATACTGAATAAATGATTTAAATTTATAATCTTATATTTAACTTTTGATGGTAATTGGAATAAAAGGCAATCTCGCTTATTACAACAAAATATAATTAATTCATTTATTTTATGGAGGAGGAATAATAAATCTTGAAATATGGAGATAATATTATTCTTAGATGCATGGTGGATAATAAGATCTATTATTTGCTCGCAAGAAACGAACAGTACCTCATGGAAACAAAGCTTTAATTGGGTAATTCTTGCACATTTAACATGTACAATTTCCCTTAACACATGGTGTTCACAGTATTCCCCAAACTTTTATACGAAGCACAAAAAAAATACAATTCAGACAAGTCCATTGGAGCCTCTTTTGATGTTTAGAAACAACTTCTGTACACGAGAATGGAAACCGAAAAAAAATATAATCAAAATCTGTTGAAGCAAACCAGAGGGTAAAAAATAATGTACGGAGATACAATAATGCTCTATTAACCATTGAGTTAAGTCTTTTTACTAAGAGCGGAGAACAATAATTCAAATTCAAATATCGGAACAATTTTGAGTTCTTCAATGTACTTCACAGTTCAACCTGATCCCTTGGCGTTAGACATTAAATAAGGATGTCCAGTACACTCTTTCGATCAATTCCTTCTAGTTCAAAGTGACACAATATTGAAATTTGACACCTTGCAAGAAATTTACCGCCTGCCTGAAGTAGTGAAATCTTAGAATCTTGATCACAATAACGAATTCCTAACCATCCCAGCCATGATTGAGAATCAATACTAATTCAAGTTTTACAAGGCTCAATACAAGCAATTCACAACTGATTCAAAAGAGTCCATCAGCCACAACACTCTTCAAGCAATTGTATTGAAATAAGACAAAGACAAAAATCATTTGTTCTACGGTCAGTATGTACGCATAGTGCACATGCAATAGAAGATAAAAAAAGAGAGGTAGGAATCAAGGAGAAGATCAATCAAAATTGAGGAAGCTTAAGAAAACCAAATTAATAAAGGTTACTTGACATCATCGATTAATGCAGTTGGATGCTACCCCTCAGTTTATCTATAGATTAACGACATCTAGAATTCTGATTCAATCGAAAGGGCAGCATCTATCTTCTAGATCTTGCCAGAAAATGACCAAAAGTATAGTGATGAAGTTTAATTTACTGTTGGAAATAAACCCAATTTGGTAGGTTACACTACTTTCCTGCTTAGACACATGTTAACAGGGGAATTCCTAAGAGTCAATCCTTTCGATAATAAGCTGTAATTATCTAAAGATGTTATCAATAAGTATCGATAAATCAATACTACGTCATCAAAAAAACTAGAGACCACAAGATAAAATGAACCAAAGTCTACTGTGTAAAAGAATCTGCCAGGCATCAAATTATATAGAAATCTAATTACTCAATCAAATAACACCAATTAAAATAATATTAATAATATTCAAACTCAATAGGACGAGCGCATTGCAACTCAATACTAATAAACTTAAGGAAATATAGAAGAACTTGAATAAGGTTCATGTATGTCTGACCATCAATTGCTATTTGTAACTAAATTGGGCAATAATCCTATATTCTATAAAGATTAGTTGCCTTTTACAAATGATACAACATTCAATATTGCTACAAAAGATGGAAAATGTCCAATTGAAGTTGACAATTAAGAAGAGGGTGGGTATTAAGTTAAGTTAATAACCAAGTTAGGAATGTTTAATCAATATGGAGAGGATAACTTGGAGTAAACTCTGTATAGATAATTGCACGATGAGTGGATTACTTTGATCCCTGATTTAGATTCATTCATAAAAAAGAATAAATATCAATTATCATCATAAGAAAAAGAAGTTCTTGAGTTCATTGAAGGTGAAAAGAAGAGTCAAGCAAAAAACAAAGTTGATATGAGACATTATAAATCTGATGATGAAACCTTTAAACCTACTTTTATTAATTTGAATCCTCTCAATACTAAATACTTGGATGTATTAGCAAATGAGGACTTTTCAGGTTCCAATTTTAAATTTGAAGTTGTAGACTAAAGTGAAATAGAAGAATTGAGTGAAGTCTTAGATCTAATGTTCCCACTCACAGTCTTAGCTAAAAACTCAATCCAACTATCAACTTTAAAATTCAAATTCAGCAATCTTAAATTCAAGGACTCCAAAGAATCCAAAGATCTAGCTTCCCAATTTCTCAGGTGTCAAGCCTAAGCCGTTCAAAATGTCAATTAGGCAGTCAAGTCACTGTTCAAAATTATGTTATGGTTAACTGCCTCTCAAGAAGCTTTGGCTTAAGAAAATTTAATCTCTGAACCTTTGGTAAGAAGATAGTGTATTGCCAGAGAAATCGGTTGCATAGACTATGTAAATAAGATAATCTATGAGTTAAATATCAATGGGCTATTATATGAAGATAAAGATTCAATCAAGTAGGATGAGGAGATGTTTCAATAGGATATCAATCAACTAATTGATTTGCTTTCCTCGTTTTTATAATTGGTTTGTAAGAATTCAAATGATAACTCCTTATACGTCGTCTAATGGTATTGTCTCTATAAGCACATACTGTTGAGAGGATAAGTAAACGATTTGATGAGACTAGACATCTTGATTACTTAATTGTTCTAATAGTCAGACGTTATGGTTTCGTTTGAATTTGAAGTCACTCAATTATCGAAGGAAACCAAATCTACAAACTACAACAAACATGCTTTTAATTTATTAATTGCCTTTTGTCTTTTCACTGAGTTTAGAAAGAAGGAGGGCATCGAAGGAATAATTGATCATATCTTCAAGCAAAATAAGGATTCCATATTTGCATAGCTCATATTTGATGGCAATATTCAATTGATTTTGAGGGAAAAGATCTAGGACTTTTAGAAAACCATAAGACAATCTATGGATTCAGGTCTTCCCATTTCAAGTCCAATCATGATAGAGGGCTTGAATTTTTCGAACAGACTAGCATTGCACGATTACATCATTTCTTGTGTGAGGTTGGCTTCAGAAATTTCTAAGTCCTCCCCTGCTTTGACTCTAAAGGAAATCAAGCACTTATTTCCCTTCTATACCGTAGCCAAGATAATCCAAGATAATAGCATTTCATCGTTAACCAAATCGTACTTTTTGGAGTTATTCCAGAATTCCTATATGGCTAAACACTTAAATCCTTTGCCAAGAGCCTAATTCCCTTAGTATTTAAAAATGGTTGTCAAATAGAACAAAGGGAAAGGATTCTTATCAATGTTTAAAAAAGAAGAGTACGACATCATTCTCTATACATTTGCATAGAAGAAGATTGCTGATGTCTATTAAAAGGTGGCCAAAAAATATTTGGTGGAAACTGATACAACTGTTGATTTTTGGTTATTTTTATCAGATTTCATCACAAACTTTTGGAAAAGCAAATCCATATATGAAATTAAAGGCACTGATCACATTTATATTAAATAATTGATTTTAACATTCACAGAGTTCTTAAAAAAAGGATTATTCATTGAATATCTTAGCAATGCTCACAATTTTTATAACATGTACCATAAATTCATTGAATTCCTGAAGAATTCTGTCGTTTCAGCTACTCTAGAGGAGAAATACATCAAACATTAGTTGTAGGACAACAAAAAATCAAAGGAGCAGAAACCTTTAGAAGTGAAGGATTATTTGTTTGAGAGTTCAGTGGCATAAAGGGCAGTGTCTAGAACGACTTATGCAAAGAGT